AGTAAACGTGAACCCGTGCCCCCATATGGAGCAATACGTTTATCACGGGTTCACTCAAGCATGAGATTTTCTTAAATATGTTACATAAAGACTATCTCATCACATTATGGGTAACCAAGTTATTATTATTAGCCATATTTGGGACTTAAATTTTTTCTTATTCTTCTATGAATTGTTTAAGTAATAGAAGATTAATTATTATGTGTGATATCTAGATGCATAATAATTTATAGACCATGAGACAGTGATAAATAGATAAGGCCGTTTCCACCACATTTTAACTATCATATTTGTTTTAATTTTGAAATAAAGTTGGTAAAAACACGTATACATTGGATGCAACGGGCACCTGCTAAATCTCTATCACGTTCGCGCGACAAACTTGTCGAAATAGGTCAATCCAAAAATTAAGAAAATTTGCAAATTATCACAAAATCGGATTGACCTCCTTATTTTGTAAACAGAGAATTTTCGGCCAATGAGAACAAAGGAGGCAACCCTCTCTAAACCAATCAAAATTAACTTTATAAAGCGGGTGTTCGGTAAACTTACAAAATTTACAAAATTTTAAAAACAAACTCTGCTAATTACAAACATGTAATTAATAATATGCATCCCAATGTATACGGTTTATAACATGTAAATAGAAACCAACATAAATAATAGATAGCCCACATTGAATTGGTCAGAAAACGTTCCTGACATGCCTTCTTCGCAAGTATGCGAACTCTACAATTATAGGTAATATTTTAATTTTTCTTAAGTTATACTAAATACTAGATTGACCTGTTATAAAAGACGGTAACTACTATAAACGTCTTGGCCAATTTTAAAATAAGTGCTTTTTAATAATTTAATTTTAGAATTCTTAATCTTAGTATGGGATTGCCCCATCTTCCTCCCATGGCAGAGGTTGTACGTAGAGACTACCCTGTCATGGGGGATATGGTATGCACATAAACACATGTACGGATATAACAATAAGTAATTAAACATCAGCTCCCCCTTTTTAAAAGGTTATAAATGAAGTATATGCTCGCCCATATGGTCTCTTTCCGGTGGCGAGGGTAAACAAACCCAAACACACACACAAAATTGTCAGAATTAAGAGGACCGCTCGACATATAACTGTAACGGTAATTTTAAATGAAAGTTATGATAACCTTTTTTGTCGACGAGTTAAATTTGATAAAATTTACGGCGTATTACACTGTATTTATTACAAATGTAGTTAAATTAAAGATCGTTTCTTTCGTTATCTACTTTCATTTTCTTTACAACATAAGTGAATATGAATATAATGTCCGGCGCAAGCTTTTTAATAGTAAATCAGAAGGGAATAACTGTTAATCCACCCATGATATGATCCATGATAGGAATCAACTATGGCTTTTTTATCTTCATTTAATGCAATGGTTGCATTACATGATACTCATTCTTATTATTACTTGTTTCAAACTACTTTTAAATTAAAATTGAATATTCTGTTGTAACACAAATCCAATTCATTTAATAAGATATGTACAGTGAGTCAACATAATTTCAATAACATACAAAAAACATCGATAAATAAATCTCCTCACTTCTCCCTAAAGTCTCCTCACTTCTCCCTAAAGCAGCTGGAGGGAGAAGTGACTTCTCCCTAAATTTTGAACCTAGCTTGAGCCCTGGATACATGTACATATTATAAGGTTTTGATTTGAATCTCATTTTAAGGTTACCATCAAGCAGTATATACCATCCAAACACTGTGTGTGTGGGCCCCCGGCCCTGTGATTAGATTACATAGTGTATAAGTGAAAAAAAAAAAAGAAGAAAATGACAACAGTCCCCAGGGCCAAAAAACCCTTCTTTGTAGAGGCCGAATATAGGCTACTTCCGCAACAAAACTAGCCTCTTTTTTTTCCCCAGTTTGGTCCTCAAAATTCCCCAGACTTTTGAAATTTCCCATAGAATTAAGAACAAAATTAAATGATGGTGTTGAATTAAGGATTTTGACTGCCTCATTTGTATTTCCCAGTGCCTTTTGCTTTTCTATTTTAAAGAACTTGTTAAAAGTTTATGTTAAATTTGAGACCCCTTTTCCCAAAGTATGCCAAAATCACGCATATTTTCCCCAAGAAAAAGGCTGAGGCCCCTTCCCCAAAAATGGTGTTTTGGCCCTGGTCCCTCTGCAAAATAACACCCTTCCTCTAATTCTAGTAATTTATACGGGGAAGTCAAAGACCAGGCCCGCGAAGCGGGTCCGGGCTTTGGCTTGCCCGGCTATAGACTACACGTGTATATTTAAAAGAAAATGAAATAAAAAACAATTAAAAAATATATAGAATTCTATACCTATCAATGAAATTTTCAGTGTCAGTTCTAGTCGGGCGCCGCCATTTACAATGTAACGCAATGATAAAAGGCGGGGTATTCCGATAATGGAACAAATCTCAACTTTTCGGATAAATGATAAACGTCGAGTGTTCCGAGTGAAAACGGAAGCGGTGCATATAATACTGAATGACACTTTTAAAACGGAAAGAATTTTTAACAACTTCCCGTTCATAGGCTTTGCCTAATTTCATATTATTGTATACTCATTCTCCATAATGTTTATTTAAATATACACATGTTGCTCAATCCATAAATAACTTAATAAGGTCCATTTTTATTAAATAATTCTAAAAACCATTCCCCACCCCTCTCATTGCGAACTAAGTGGACGATTCTACGCTAAATTATTATTTATATTGGTACATTAATATCGACAACTAATAAAATTTACCTTCATCTTTGATCGAGATACCTCTCAAAGTCAGTTTTCTAAAGACAGATACTAATTTTGTATATATGTTTCCTTCATAAGACCATAATTTTCAGACATTTCCATGATGTTAGATGGTTAGTTTGATTAGAATCTAAATATATGATAAGTTCCCTATTGTTCCATATTTAATCGAACTAGTTCTGAGGCTGTTGGGGGAGGGGGCGGTTAAACGGTAGTAAATAAATTTCTTATACTTTCTTAATAAAATTTACAAAGTTCTGAGACTTGTAGCACGTACCTAGGCCCAAAACTAAATCACTAGACTAATGTTATTTAATGATCTTTTAACCACTAAAATCACCAAGAAAGCTAGGGATAATAATTGTATCTGACAAGTCAACACCATGTTTATGGAATATGTTCTAAACTGACAGCTCAAATGAGAATTTGACCGCGTGAGTAATGGCGCTTGTTTAAATTTATATAAATGCCAAAAACATTATGAATAGGAACTGGCTTACATAGTCATGAAATTGGAAAACTGATGGTCTGAGCAGGTTTTTTCCAATGTAAAGTTCTGTTTATTACATTGTGGCCAGTACAACTATTACACATTTATGTCATTAATTAGAATCTAGTTTAAACAACCTTTTATGTCCTTATTATTATTTTTTTCTTTGCTCTTGCCATGTACCAGAGACTTATAATTATCATATTTGTAATTGTTGTAACAGTATGTAAAGAGATAAAAAATGTAAAATTTACTGGAATTAACTATTTCTTCTCATTAATGGATGTAATGATTCCCACTTTCCCTCCTAATTTAACTAGAATCTATGTCTATTTTTTTTCTTTCTGAGGAAAACCCAATATGCATCCCCTGCATTGTTTCATTACGAGCAGGCACCAGCAGGGCTACCTCTATAAAGAATTTTACGCCAAAAGTGAGATTCAAGCCCGTATCTATGAGGGGCAAGTCAGCAACCTTGACCACCTGGCCACGGAGGGTCCTCACACCAAAGATGAAGATCCAATGTTATATATATCTCTCTGCGCAAACCTATCTACCTTATTTATGAAAAACACTCGTCAGTTTCAAACCAGAAAACTGCTTTCACCCGGGTCGGGGTTGGGGTAAATTCTTTAATGAATTTATGAGAATACTTTCCAAAATGTTTAAAAAAGAATTACTTTGTCTAAATGTCTGTACTTCTTATCAATATGGCATATTAACTATAATGGCGGCCATGTCACTCTCGTGTGCAAATTCAGCAACTTTGAACAATTCCTCGAAATTGAAGAAGTAAATTCGAAAGCCAGTCGTCCGACCGGACTTTGATTCTACTGTATTAGTGTGAAATGTTATTCTTTGTAAACCTGAGTAGGCTCTACATCTTTCCCAAAAAACGAAGTTTTTTAATTGAATATAGCCAACAGCTGATGTTGGGTTAGGCATTGCCTCGCATTACCTCGTGTTACTCCGCCATCTTGAAATGCCTACTTCCGGTGCATGAATGGTTGAACTGCGCATGTCTAAAAATTAGTTTACGATTTAACTGATTTTGGTACCATGGTGTGTGGCCACACACACTGACACACACATAAGCACGATAACGATAAACCGAGGTTTTCACAAAAATTTCGCCAATAGGTGTGTCTTAGTAAATGCACGCATTTTACGAGGTACACATACCGAGGTAACGGGAAAAGTACCTCGGTATTTTTTGGTTCCTCGGTACGTGGGTGTGTAAACATATAATTTACCTCGGTAAGTGAGGTATACAAACACACACACGCACACACACACACACACACACACACACACATATAGCTTATGCAAAATCGAGCAGAATAAAATAGTTTCAATACTGAAGCAAGCAGTGTATTAAACATTTTTGATCTCGATATTTATCTATTTTATCAGGCATATACGACAATTGTTAATTGTCAACTGTTTCATTCAGCGGACGCAGCAGTAGCAGAATTTCACATGTTTCAGAATAAGTTTAATTTCCCCAACCTATCTCAGTTAAGCTGTACAACGCCTTTAAAATAATATTCTAATAATATTGCGTATAAAGGTAGTTTATGAACGATTAAACGACTTATTTAACAATTATATGTATTGACTTGTACGTTCTTCTGGCTCTGTCAAAGAAGTTGTCACATATTTTTTGTATGCTTCTGTAAACAGCTTTCATACAAACTGCTGAATAAAGATTTACAGTTCAAAAGACAGACAAAGATGAATGATTCGTATTTAATATGAAAAATAAACACTGGTATACATTTTATGTACATAACATACTTACATCCAGATCTATATTAACTGACATTTGTCATCATATAAAACATGAAATTATGACATTCAGAACGAAAATCCAAATATAAAACTTGTGAAATAGCTTGTCCACATATTAAACAGCATAATTTTACACATTTCAAATAAAGCATTTTAAAATATATTTTTACATAGTAAAACATACTCTGACGAAGAATGTCTCACCCTTTAGTGTCGAAACAGCAATTATGATCTATAAAAAATCGTGCAGACATTTTAAGATTGTTATTACTTTTTGAAATATTATCTCACTGGTTGTATATAGTTCCCAAAACAATCGAACTAAAATATATTCTGTATAAAATAAAGAGACGGTAATTGTAAGTACCAAATCATCTTTTAACATAACATTATGAAAATATGATAATATAATCATGGTATTTATACACATAAACACTTGTTTATACCCTACACGTTGTAATATACCAGTTATAATGAGTTTAATAATCACAGGCTTAAAGTTTGAGTAGAAGAAAATGTAGAAAACAAGTCAAATAAAGCTTTCGTTTTCGTCATTTTTTGACTCATCGTCATCGTCTTTTTGTTCGTCTGAAGAATCGACATCAGTGTCACTAAGATCTTCATCACTCCAATCTGTAAAGATATCATTTTATGTAAATGTAACAAAATTAAAAATTAAAACATTCTTATAAAACTGACTGTAAGAAACAATAAATCATGATTGTATTACATCTCCTTCGAAATCTACCTATCCATAATGAGGTTAAATTCAGATTCTCACCATGACAATATTAGTCATTAAAAATAGCAATCTGCTTATATATCAAATAGGTTTATGTATGTTTAGATATATTATTACAGTTATAAGGGTGAAAGAGTATAATATTATTAGTTTTGCGTACATTACGGTCACGTAAAATCGATGGTCATAAAATCGGTGGTTTTGTAAAACATAAGACAAGAGAAGAATGTCGTGTTGTATCCGTCACCATGTAACCTCAGCATTTATTTACTTTTGTTTAAATATAATGGACAATCATCAAACATTTACAAAGCCAGCCTATCTGAAACGCAGTCAAATGGACTATATTCCTTATTCAATTAATTGTTGCTTTTAATGTATATTATTATTACTAAAATACTAAACTAATGGAACTTGCATCATTGCAGAAATGTCACGTACCTGATGATTCAAAATCACTTTGATCACTGTCTGAATTTTCTGATACTACTGATTCTACTTCGTCATTGTCATTTTCATCTGAACATTTAGATAAAACAAGAGATTCATCTACATTAATCTCTGCGCTGGTTGACGTTGAAATACTTTGATATTTTCCTCTCCGCTGTTTTTCCTTTGCTTTATGAGCTGAATAAAAAGTTAAAATGGTATATGAAAAAACATGATAGTGCTTTCGTTGCTTTTCCTGCTTTTTATTTTAGATACAAAAATTAAAACCAATGAAATATACAGTTCAGGCTCATACGGACACCCTAGTAGAACCGCAGACGACGTTCCGTAGCCTAATTACGTAAATACTGCAAGATCAGTTATAAATCGCACATAACGTGTAAATGATATATTTGATCTTGGATATGTTTACTTTTCCTAAATTCGTTGTACATTGTACTCAAGTTTGCTTTTCTTAAAATAGTTTGGCTCATCTGGAGGCATGTAGCTTTTATTATCTCACTGATTCTCTTGTCACAGTATTTTATCATGACATTAATTATCAGTGAGATGTGACATCAATACTAGAATGATATTCATATCCCTATCTGTCTAGCATTTTAGTCATAATACGATTTACAATAGACTTAACTACAGTATCAAAAGTTAGCAGACTTTGCTTCATGATGAAACGGGTTATTTATGCGGACAAATTGCTATTATAATGCAATAAATCGGTTGTTGTTTAAATACCGACATGAAGTTTTGACGTCTTAGAAATGACAAATATATAGCAATGTAATTATAAGAGATCAAGGTACAAATTGCGTGCCAAGTACTGTCTAGTCTAAGCATATATTTTGTCTTTCATGTTCTTATAAATTTCTTGCATTAATGTTCTTATTGATACATGAAAAACTCTAAAAACGTGATACATGAAAAACTCTAAAGACGAGTTGTCGAGCATTTAAACATATAAAACTGGTTAAAACAACAATGACACTAACATAGGAAGATGTCCGCTTTTGAAAATATAATGTCATTTGCATTCTTTTCAACATAACTATTCAAACATTGTATTTTAATGTATATAATTGAGATATAATGTATATATTTTGAGAATCTATATTTATTTCTAAAGATATTCAAACATCTGTTGATTGATCGGATAATTGTTCAAAGGAAAAAATGACGAAGTTTAAACAACACACAAGCAGTTTGATACAGACAAAATATGAATATATTCTAGTATCTTATTCAGCAAGTCTATATTAAGGCATG